TCTATCTATCTATCTATCTATCTATCTATCTATCTATCTATCTATCTATCTATCTATCTATCTATCTATCCATCCATCCATCCATCCATCCATCCATCCATCTGTCAAGCAAGTATTAGATAACAGGTACAAGTATAAGCATGGATATGAATACATGAAGCGGATAGGAAAAAGAAAGGAAGAATAGGACAGGGACGGTAAGCACGTTGGGGCGCTTAGGCCCGCATTTCCTTGGAAGGAGGAATGGTGGAAGGGAGCGCTGTAGGAGAACGCCCGCCTCCCCCTCCTTCCAGGCTGCCTAAATGAGGCGGGAGGGGGGCTGGGGTAATTAAAAGTCCCATGAAATGTCCCAAAAGGGCTTTTTATATTCCCCCCACCCCAAGAGGCAGGCTGGGCTTTCTGGTTTTTTCCCTGAAGACCTTTCGCTCCTCATCCAAGACGCTTCTTCAAGTTCTAAGGGAAGAAGCATCTTGGATGAGAAGCGAAAGGTCTTCAAAGAAAAACCAGAAAGTCCAGTTTGGCTCTTGGGGGAAAAAAGAAAAAAGAAACCACCCCTGGGACAAACCTGACCTGGAGGACGGAGAATCTCCATAGACATCCGGGGCAACGAAGATGCTGACTGTTGCTAAACAGTAACGGCAACCAAGAGTCATTAAAATTGGGGTCCTGCCCCAGATCACTTTTGAAAAAGGCCCCGAGTCTTCCTGGAGCTTCCGCTGAAATAGACCCACCAATCCTCTACTTCTGGCCTGGAAACAAGACCCTCTTCCCCTCTTCCTCCTGGCAGCCCCTATTACTTCAGGAAGGCCAGAGGGGGAGGAGTCAACACCCCCCCCACACACAAAAAAGTTTTAAAGCTGAATTGGTTGTTCCTCGCCCCCTCCCTGGGGGGCGGGGGGGGGGCATCCCAAGCCCAGTCTCAAACCTGGGAACTTTGCAACAGGTGGAATTTTCTTTCTGCGTCTTTTTAAGGGGCCCGCTTAATTTCTGGTAGGGGAATCCCAGGCCTCGTAAATCCACACATCTGAAAAGTTGCCAAGGATACACAGAGATTGTGCCAGTGTTGCACCACCAGAAGTGTTTCAGAAACAATCCTGATACAAGACAGCCACTGCGTTTGTTTAACACAGGGACAACATTTACCATACATAGATATCAACAAGTACATTTTAATCCATGTATGCTTCACGGGAGGGTCCGAGCTGCCCCAGGGGCTTTAGACATCAGAGGAGAATGTCCTGTCCTCTGGGCAAAGCTGAGAAGGTTTAAAAGTCCGTTTGTGACCATCGTTCTCCAGTTGCTTGTGTGTCCAAGTTTGAGAGGCCCTACTTTAGTGTAATGTGTGAACCTGGAATGCCCGTGTAAAGATGAGCAGTCTTGCCCCGAAGGCCTGCAGGAAACACAACCAGATGAGTAAATCAATTTTATTGTTAAAGCTACATTAACAGAACATTGCAAGTACTGGAAGTACAATTCTTACACACACACACACACACAAACTCACTTTTGCTATACAGTCCAAGAAACTAGGGGTGAGGGTTCAAGTGGTTTTCTAGATTTTTGCAGGAAAGATGGGAAGTTGGATATTTAGGGCACCTCAAATGATGCACCCAGAACAACTGAAGACAAAAGCCCACATTTGTAAGGAGATAAGATGTTATCCGGTATGATACACAGGTAAAGGTAAAGGTTCCCCTCCTTGCACATCCGTGCTAGTCGTTCCTGGCTCTAGGGGGCGCTGTTCATCTCCATTGCAAAGCCAAAGAAGAAGACGTCTCCGTGGTCATGTGGCCGGCAGGACTAAACGCCTTTGAAGGCGCACCGAACGCCGTTCCCTTCCCACCAAAGGGGTCCCCGTTTTTCTACTTGCAGTTTTTACATGCTTTCAAACTGCTAGGTTGGCAGAAGCTGAGACAAGGAACGGGAGCTCCCTCCGTTATGCGGTGCTAGGGATTCGAACTGCCGACCTTTCTGATCGACATGCTCAGCCTCTTAACCCCTGAGCCACCGCGTCCCTATCGTACACACTAGTAACTCTTTAAACTTCACTGGGTCAACTCTGGGACCCCCCCCCCAAGCTGCCCTCCTGGGCTTCCTCCAGGTTGAATTGAGACCAATATTTGGTGGCTGTAATAATAGCTGAGAAATTCTGTAGGGCTAATTCTGTGGGGGGTGGGCAGCCCATTGGAAGACCCTGGTCTCCAGCTCCCCTCCTTGCCAATCTCTGTCCCTTTAGGAGCAAGTGGTCCAATGGCTGAGGCAGGTGAGCTGCCCTTCACCTGCCCCTTTGCTGCTGTTAAAGGACCGGAAATGGGGCCTGTTCCAAAGGCAGAACTCTAAACGGGCTTTGAGAAAAACCTGGAGAGATTCAGTTGCAGAAACCCAGAGAGGAGGAGGAGGAGGAGGAGGCGCAAATGGAACATTTTCCCGGCCAAAGAAGAAGTGGGGCTCCTGAAGACTCCACTCCCTCCAGGGGGCCGCAGGGCGATTCTTCTCCCAGCAGGATCAGCCCTGTAGGGATCCAGGAGGGGCTTAACCGAATCATTAGGAGCTCATTGGCAGGCAGGAAATCACTAGAGGCTCTTATTTAAGTGGGGGGGGGAAGCCGTAAGGAGGCAGCCTGAGCAGCCATTTGTGAGAAACGGGGTTGGGGGCATTTTGGGCGAAGGCCACAATGGATACGGGGAAGATCTCGGAATACCTTCCAGATGCAGCTACCTGCACTCTATGCATGCGTGTGTTCCACGAGCCGGTGACTTTAAACTGCGGCCATAACTACTGCCACGCTTGCATCCAGAAGCACTGGGGAGGTGCGCAGAGCAACGTGGCTTGCCCCCAGTGCCACCAGAGGTTCGATCATGTGACCCTGATGCTCAACAGGCAACTGGGCAACGTTGCCTGGCTCATCAGAAAGCTGCAAGACAAGGGGGTGTTGAAGAAACCCAGCCGGGGGTTTTGCGAGGCTCACAAGCAGCTGCTGACCGTCTTCTGCCAGAAGGACCAGGCGCTCCTCTGCGCCGAGTGCCTGATTTCCCCGGATCACACCGGCCACACCCTGGCTTCTCTGGAAGGGGCAGCCCAGGCGGCCAAGGTAGGGAGGGTCTCCTCTGGCTGCAGGGGAAGCGAACAAGCCTCCTTTCGAAGGAAGTTGCTTCCCACGTGCAGTGGACTTGGTGGTTGGGGAGGCTGACCTGGCCTTGGGTGTGGCTCCTGTGACTCCAGCAGAAAAGGGGTGTCGGCTGTTGGGTTAAGATAACTCTGCTTAACTCTGGTGAGTTTAATAAGCCATGTGGGTTGAGTTCATGGACCCACGATAAGGCAACCAACAAACCATGTTATACCTTGGGACAAGGCTCTCCAACCTTGGCCACTTTAAGCCTGGAGGACTTCAGCTCCCGGAATTCCCCAGCCAGCGTTGCCAATTCTGGGAGTTGAAGTCCTCCAGGCTTAAAGTGGCCAAGGTTGGAGACCCCTGCCCTGGGATGCTCTGTGGTCCTGTACCAGCTACACTGAAGTAGTTCAAATGTTTGCTTACAGGACAGCAGCCAGTGAGCCCAGCAACTTCACAGGCTGAAGGGATATACTACAACTTTGCCCCGTGTAGAAGTTACTTGCACTCATGTGCAGGCCTTAACTGAGGAGGTAGCTTGTCTCCCGACAGATATTCAGGGTGCAGCCAACTCCAGGAGGGCCGCCCAATAGCCCTCAGGGCTGGGAGGGGCCTTGCTCTGCGTCCCTCCGAGATCAAAGGCAGCTCCAGTTGCAGTAACTGCCTCTTTCTTGCAGACCAAAGTCCGGGTGTTTCTGGACCTTCTGAAGATTCAGAAGGCCCACATCCGAGACAGCTTTTCAGACGCGCGAACCGAGAAAGAAAACCTGGAGGTAGGGCTTCTCTGGTGGGAGGAGCCAGGGCTGGTCTGGCAGGAGAGGTCTCCTTCCTTCCTTCCTTCCTTCCTTCCTAAGATGGTTTGGGGTTTGTTTTTTTTTTAAAGAAAATGATGGACCGTGAGAATCAGAAGTTTCGCTCGGGATATAAGGAGATGTATGAGCTGGTGAAGACGGTTCAGCTGGACCAAAGGCTGGCAGCCAAAGGGATCAGCGAGGAGATCGAGGAAGAGCTGGCCCGACTGGCTAAGAACCACAGCGCAGTCCGGGCCTTCGCCAAGGGGCTGGAGTGGAAGTTCGAAGAACCCGCTTATGAATTCCTGATGGTAGGCTGGTCGGCAGCCCACAGGCGGCGGGAGGGGCCCCCATGCGGGAAGTGGGACGCAAGGCAGGCCATTCGACGGCCGCAGCCTCCTTGCAAGACCAGGGTTTGAAAGCGGTGGAGGTTTCTTCACTAAGCAAAAGCTTCTGGGTTTGGTGATGGCTTTTCCGCGGAGGGTGGGGTGGGTGGGGGGGTGTTCCCCATTCGGGGGGGCTATTCCTGCCTCTCTGCTCACGGCCTTCGGGTCACATAAACCAGGAAGGAAGGTCGCCTCTAGGAAGACGCTCAACCTCATGCCGGAGAAAGAGGGCCCCCTTTCTGGGGCCCAGAAGGGTGAGGTTCAGGGATGAGCAACCCCCCTGCCTGGGTGGGGGCAGAGCCAGGCCGGGCCTCCAGCTCCAGGTGGACTCATTTTGCCTCCCTATTCCATTCCAAGCCCAGCGGATTGGACCCCTTGGAAAAAAGGATTCCGAGCCCTTCCATGCAGGAGTCGTGCTGGTGGGGAATTCTGGGGGCTGAAGTCCACGGGTCTTAAAGCGACCAAGGTTGGATGCTAGCCCTACTTGAATGCTTGCTTGTGATCAAAAGAGGAGGACCCTCGTTTGCTCTTGCCATTAAGCCTGTTTTACAGCCACTGACTTTCCCCTCTTTCCTTCCAGGATATCAAAGAGGTGATGGCCAGGTACGTAAAGCTTCCCCCCCCCCCCCGTCTCCCAGCTTCCTTTGTCGCCATATTAGGCCGCCGTGCTATGCACCGACTCCTTGGGCTGGACCAAAAGGCATTCAAAGGGTGGGGGCTGCATCCGGTGATGGTTAAGGAGGGCGAATCCCCTGTTGCTTTTTAGGCCCTGTATTTCCTGCTGGGGCTCAGGAGCGTTGCTTTTTAAAATGCTTTGTAGGTGAAATCAGTAGCAAATTAGTCCTTGTGACGGACAGGAACTGCAGGCTGCAGTTGTTTTGGTGGCATGATGTTGGCCTATTGGCCTAAACAGGTTTAAGTTAAGTGGCTTTATTGTAAGTTAGTCTTGTTGCCTAAGGTTTAATGTCTGCTTCATAGCCTGAACTCAGCTACAGAGGGGTTGTAAATGATAGTTAATCCACACCTCTCCCTAACCCCAGTGCAAACAAAATAATACGAGAATCTACCAACTCGATTTTTCCAGTTCTCCTCATGAAGCTGGGCTCCTTCCCAAATCTGACTATTCTTGAGGCACATTCTTTATTTCTCCCTTTGCTCTACATCAAAAAGATTCGTGATTTGTCCCCTTGAGCACTCGTGGGCAGGAAAACTCTGCAGTCTGCCTGCTGCTGTTCCCAGAATGCTGAAGGTTTCCTGCCCACTTGGGCGAGCGGATAATACTTTCCCTGCTGGGTGTCCGTAGGTGCAAAGAACTTCTGGCTCAGCCTCCCGAAGGAAACTTCCCCCCCTACAAAGAGAAAATGTGGGATCTCTCCATCAGAAGCCTTTTTGTGGACGATACGTTGAAGAGGTGCAAAGGTAAGGATTTGCTCTGGAGCAGTTTTAGAAGTCCCGCTAAGCAAATACCACGGAGTAGAGTGCAAAACCGAGGGAATTTGAGCGGAGGTGTGAATAGGATGGCAAGGTTTATTTCAGTCGAGGCTCTGACATTGGGCGGCTTCGCTGCACCCCCCCCCCCCCAGCATTTCCTGGGCCAGGGCTGTGAAAGCTGCCCTCAGGCTGCCCCACGAGGAGCAAATGTGTTTGTAACGCCTGGTTGAGAGGCAGCCCCTCCCAGGGTTTTGCTAAATTGTCGTCTGTTGAGTGAGCCATGATTGCTTGGACTGTGTGGTAAAACAGGCTAAGATGAAGAAGACATTTGCGGTGTTTCAGGTACGTGAAGAAGAGTCCAAGGGCTGATTCCGAGGGGTTGAACCGCTGACGACCCCCGGCCAGGCCAGGCGGAGGGAGGGTGGGGGGCCTTTGAGCTGGGCAAGGAAACAGAAGGGGGGATTTCTGGGTAGGAACCCCCCCACCCCAAGATGATTAGCCAATAGTAGGCCTGAGGGCAAACTGTCCAAGGAAGGTTTTTCCCCCTCTCCATACCAATGAGAGGAAATGACGTCTCCACATTTCTTACCATTTTTTCCAAAAACGCCGCCTCTCTTTCTCTTGCCTGTCTCTCTCCGCAGATGCCCTCCCACTGGTGTACGTGTGGGAAAGAGGTGAGTCCTTGGAAGGGGGAGGGGGTGGGGAAAGTGGACCGACCATGATTGATTGCCTAAATGGGGGCGGGTGGCGGGGAACGACTCCAACTTGTCAACTTTAAGATCTGGTGGACTTAAGCAGCTCCCAGGTGTAGAGGGGAGCCCCCCACTTCCCCCTGCCATGCGTGCTGGCTTCCGGAAGGGGAATAAGGGCTGCCCCCCCCCCCCAAGAATTCCTAGCCTGCCTTGTGGGACAAAAGTCAATGGATACCTGGACTCCGACTCCCAGCAACCGGAGCAAAGCTGGAGAGATTCGGATTTAGCTCCCTTGGTGTGTGTGTGTGGGGTGGTGGGGGGTTCAAATTTCTGACAGGGCTGTCCCTCCTCCTTTTGAAGCCAACGTGACCATGGACCGCCTGACCGCCCATCCGCACCTGCTGCTGTCCGCCTCCAAGAAGATCGTGACTCACGACGCCACCCCCAGCGGGCTGCTCCCTGGCCGCCAGGCCTTCGACACCACGCCCTGCATCCTGGCGGAGAAGGGGTTCACGGGGGGGCGGCACTGCTGGCAGGTGGAGGTGGCCTCGAGGGGCCGCGGCTGGGCCTTCGGGGTGATGAAGGACTCGGTGTCCCGGAAGGGGCCGGTGGGCATCTCCACAGACGAAGGCATCTGGGCGCTGCTGCCCGAACACCTGCCTCCCGCCGAGCCTGAGCTCAGCATCTGCAGCTTCCGCCTCTACCTGGACTACGAGGGCGGCACCATCCACTTCTTTGACGGGGTGACGCGGGAGCCGGTGGCGCTGCTCTCCTACGCCGTCTTCCTGGGCGAGAGGGTCTTCCCCTTCTTCAAGCTGGAGGAGCCCAGCTCCCAGATGTGCATCGTGCCCTGAGCGCCGCGAGGGCGCTTCGGGTCTCTAACACCCGGATGGGGGGAGGTTTGGCGGAGAGAAGAGGGTCTCCCTCTGGCTGCTGGAAGCCGGAGCGCGGCCACCATTCTGAGGATGCCACGACTAAAGATGAATAAAGATTGCGTTTTTTAATCTCGGGTCTTGGCGGTGTTTTCTTTCCACCCGGGAGCGGGGCCGTTGGGGGAGGCGGGACAGGTGGGACCCTCGGCCAGCCGGAGTTCCCTTTCGGGGGCGGGAAGCGCGTGGGGAGGGGGGGGCTGGTGGTCGTCCAACGGGGGCATCAGCAGCAGCGCCTGCCGCCTCCCTCCCTCCCTCCCTCCGGCAGGAGAAGCGGGGTAAGGGGGCGCGACCCCCGCCAGGCCCGTCCTGGCTTCGGTCCTGGCCGGGCGTCCCGGGCTCCGCTCCTGGGGAGGCCTGGCGGGAAACCCTCGGGGCCCGCGAGGGGGGCGAGCCTCCCGGGGGCTGCCCCCGCTTCCTCGAAGGGACATTGCGGGGCTTTGGAAGGGCGCCGCAGGGAAAGACCCCCCCCCTCCGTCCGCGGCTGCTCGCCCGACTTTCCGGGCTGGGCCGGGGCGGCTCCGAGGGGCGAGGCGGGCGACCCCCGGGGGCGGGGCGGGGGCGGGGATGTCCCGAGGCGGCTAAACCTGCCCTCTTCCCCGTCGGTCGCGAGCCATGGAGGTGCCGGGCGCCGGGCAGCAGGAGCCGGGCGCGGCCGCCCCCGCCGCCGCCGCCGCCGCCGCCCCCGGCGAAGAGATCGACCTGTCCCTGGGTGAGATTTCGGCTCCCTCCCGGGGAAGGGTCGGGGGCTGCGCCTTGTGAGGCCAGGGCTGCCCCCTCGCTTGGGGACAGGAGGGCGGGGGGAGCCGCAGCTAAAACGCCCCCTGGCAGCCCTTCAGCCGCCCGGTGGGCAAATGGGTCGGGGGGCGTCCGAGAGTCAAGGAAAGTGGCTTCTCGCGGAGCTCCGGATCCCCCAAACCTTCTCCCTGTTCCATGCTGTGCAACTCGGCCGAAGCCCACCCCCATCCCGGAAACAGAGACTTCAGCCCCCCCCTCCCCCTCCCCACCGGTGGGCTGTTCTCCCCTTCACTTTCCTGCCTCTTCCAGACCCCTCCAGGCCTCTCCCGGAGCTTCGGGCTCTCCCCCCTTCCAGCTCCTCAAGGGGGCATCTGGGACCCCTGCTGCGCCTCCCCCCCCCCCCCCCCAGCGCCCCGGGCCAGAAAAAGAGCCGGCGTCCCGCCACCGGCTCCCCGGGAACGGGTGAGCCGCTCTGTCAAGCATTTTCCTGGCACCGGGCACATCCCAGCCCTCCTGAAGTCAGCCGGCTGGAAATACCTCCCGGTGGCCCGAACTGTTTTCCAACCACCACCCCCTCCTTACCGGAGCTGCGCTGGAAAGAGTTAAACTTCCTTGTGCAAGTTCAGAGGCCTCCAAACTTGGCCACTTTAAGACTTGTGGACTTCAACTTCCAGAATTCTGGGAGTTGAAGTCCACCGCTCTTAAAAGTGGCCAAGTTTGGGAGACCTCTGTGCTAGTTAGGAGTTCCATAGGCAAGGAAACTGCTCCCCCGCCCCCCAAAAACCTACTTGGGGCACAATGTCCCATCTTGCTTCTGGCCAGTGTCCTGTGTCCCCAAAATGTGAGGATTTGGGTCCTTAACCAAAGAACAAAATTTGCCAGTATGGTAATGGACCCCTTGCAACCTGCTGGGCGTTTCCCTATTGAAAGCTCCTTGGGAATGCCAGGGAAAGTGTGGGGCACTGGTGTCTCTGCCCTCTTTAGATGACATCATCAAGCGTCACCAGGCCCAGCCGAACCGGAAACCCTGGCAGCACCAGCCGAAGACCCAGAACCAGGCCTCTGGCAGCAGGAGGCCTCGATTCCAGAGCTGGGGGCCACCAAGCCTGCCAGGTGGGTGGAAGGCACTGGGGAAGGAGAGAGCCAGCCAAGGGGACTTGGGCCCTTCGCTCTTTGGTGCGGAAGGAGCTGGCACAGAGAACCGACTTCAAGACTGCTGGCAAAGAATAGCCTCCCTCTGGAGCAGAGGGGGCTTGGGGAACAGCGCCAGGAGGGTGTGGCTGTACCCAGGCTGCATTCGGGGGCTCTGCTTGGGGCAAGGGGATTCAACGAATTTGGGGTGGGCTTGGCAGGTATGAAAGGTCTCAGATTGAGGAAAACCTCGTTTAAGAAACTGGCCTGTGGATGGAAGCAACGTGGTTGCATTAAAAAGAAGGCGAAAGTCAGACGGGGGATTCAGCCGGTTCGGATCGGTTCTCGAGAACCGGTAGCAGAAATTTTGAGTAGTTCGGAGAACCATAAAATCCCGCCTCTGACTGGCCCCGCCAACCCCATCTCTTCTCCGCCTCCCATCAAGTCCCAGCTGATCGGCTGGGTCTCCTTTGGTTGCCCTGCCCAGGAGAACGGAGCTGGAAAGCAGGTTAGAGAAGGAGGATTTTGAAGTATCCTTCCCCTGCCCCGCCCACCAAGCCACCAAGCCCCGCCCACAGAACTGGCAGTAAAAAATGTGAATGCCACCGCTGGTCTGGAGCAATTCCTCCCAAGGGTGTGCAGGGTGTGTGTGTGAATTCCACTAGGGGAGGAGGTAGAATACATTCTACCCAGGAACTCAAATCAAAGTTGGTGTGTGTGTGTGTGTGTGTGTGTGCGTGCGTGTTTCCTTAGGATCTAGCAGATTTCCCCAAGGATTTTGGAAGCCATCCTGGGCCAGGAAGCCTTTCTGGAGCAGGATGAGCACCCCAGGCCCAAGAGCAGCAGGGCAGATGAAGGGCAGGAGCCCCCTCAACCGGCCAGCCTTGGCCCAGCAGGTAGGAGCAGCAGCAGATCCCCCCCCCCCCTCCCCCCCCCCCCTCCAAGAGGCTCTGAATCGAAGGCCAGCCCTGCGGAGGCCGGAGCTGCCAAGGTGGTGAGTTGCTGGGTATCTTTTCCAGGACAAGCCAGGGAAAGGCCCCCCGGGCAGGAATGGCAACAGAGCCCCCGCAGACTCTCAGCCCGAAGCCCCCGCAAGAGCCAAAGCCTTCAAAACAGCACGGACGCCTCTGCCATTTCGGAGGTTGGTGGGTTTAAACGTGGCCATCTCTGAGTTTTCACCAGGGGCAGGTGTTGGGGAGCGGGCAGGTGGGAGGCCCCAGGATGACATCGGTGTACCCCCAAACAAGGGGACCTCAAATTCCAAACGTTGCCCACACCTCAGTTCAGATTTGCAGGGGTCTCCAACCTTGGGCACTTTGTGTGGACTTCAACTCCCAGAATTCCTCAGCCAATCCTGGCCACTTTAAGACTTGGGAACTTCAACTCCCAGAATCCCTCAGCCAACCTTTGCTGGCTGAGGGATTCTGGGAGTTGAAGTCCCCAAGTCTTAAAGTGGCCAAGATTGGAGAGCCCTGGATTGCAGAGTTGGGAACAGCATCGATGGTTGGGTTTAACTGGGGACCCTTTTCTTTCTGCCAACCGCAGACCGTTCCGGTCATTCAATCAAGGACGAGCTTTCCTCCAGAGCCAGGTCAAATTCAACTTCAACCAACGGGTCAGTTTTTCTTTCTTTAGCCATTTTGCCAGCGGCATGTTTTATTTTCCTTCGCTTCCTGCAATCACTCTGAAAATCCACTCTCTGCTATCTACCCATTTTAAAGATGAGGAGTTGAGGCATAACCAGCTGCCTGTGGTTACCAAGGGGGTTTTCCACCACCACCACCACCACCCCCCGTATGCTGGAAGCATTCAGAAACATGTGAATGAGGTCCAAATTCTATCATTGTTTTAGGACAAATCATTGTTTCCCCCACAATCGCTGCCTTTGAACACGGGCCTTGCATCCATCCCTTTGTCCAATTTGTCTAATTCCAAGCTGGTAGCGCACCTGTTTTAGCCACTTAACAAACTGTCTCCTGTAAGCATTTTGCGTTCGTTTTTTTTACGCCTGTCCTTCCTGTCCCTCCAGCAGCAGATCAGGCCCAGGAGGGAGCAGAACCTCTCAAGAGTGAGAAGGTAAATAAATAGCAAAAAAAGGGTCCCTGTTGAGCCTTTTCATTGTCTCCACGGATTGATGGTGGCTTCGTTTTTTTGGCAGGGGGAGAATGCAGCCCAGTTCTGGAGCAGTCTTGACCGTCTCGGTGTCCAATCCCCAGGCAGGACACCCCCAGGGGTATGTTTCCTCCTTAAGACATGGATTTCGGGACCCTGGGACTGTGACTCTTGGACTCGTAGTCCTTTTATGGCTGCTTTGTCTCTGGAGATGCTCCACGCTTCAGGTCATAGTTGTCCCAAGGAGTCTTTCTCAAGAGGCAACTGGACTTTGTTTTCCCTTGAAGAGGTTTCTCTTCTCATCCAGGAAGTTTCTTCCATTCTGACTGCATGGTGTGGAATAAATCCTTCCTTTCTCCACCGTTCAGTCAGAACTGAAGAAGCTTCTCGGATGAGAAGTGAAACGGCTTCAGGGAAAAGCAAAGTCTACTTGCCTCTGGAAAAAGCACCTTTGGGATGATCCGCAGCAGGAATTTTCACCTGCATGCAAGGGAGGCACAAAAGGTGTTTAGCAGCACATGCAGACCAGGGGTTTGCATCTCTGAAAATGCTCATCATCTTTGACGCCACCAGGCAACCCCTCGAGGTCTCAGCAGATGAAAAAGATCCACGTGGTTTGGATCTTAGGTGGCCTACAAGTCGAATGAATAAATAGATTTTTGAAAGACCAGGTCAATCCCCTAGTCGAAGGGCCTCTTCGTTCCACATCTCTGTAGCCCGGCGTTTCTCCACTTTGGCAACTTGGAGGCGTGTGGACTTCAACCCCCAGAACTGTGTGGCTCTTTTGCAGGCCCGGACCGAAGCGCCCCTTCCTGAGAAGGCGGAATAGCCAGACCCCGCAGCTCCGCTGGCAGCCGAGAGGAGTGATGCTACGATTCAACTTCCGGGCTATGGCTAACCAGGTAGAGAGGCCTCCCAGGCCAGAAGTGGCCCCCTGGGGACCC